CGACGCATTCGGAGTCGCTGGCGGCGGCGGCGATCAACGCGGAGGCGCGGCCGCGCGCGCGGACCTCGACCAGGGTGCCGGCCAGCAGCAGCGCGCGCACGGCGCTCGCGCGCCCGTCCAGAGCCGCCTGCCGGAGGGCCAGCGCGGCGTAGTTCGTGTAGAACTGGAAGGACAAGAAACGGGCGCATTTACAGCAAGAAGAAAATCTTGGACTCCCTCTCACCACCATGCATCTGATGTCGCGCTGCATATTTAATCAATAAAACACTATTTATTGGATCTACGTAGCGTGTCTACGTGCTCAAAGAATTTATCTATCAGTGTTTTTTAAACAGTGTCCATAATATTCAGTGTACCCTCAATGTATAGTACCCTGGTACCGAGGACTCTCGAGCAAAGTAAAAGTTAAGTTAAAAAAAAGAAATTCTTATTAGCAGTTTAAGGGAGAAAATGCAGTAATTTGAAACAAATATTTGCCGAAGCTATCATAAGTCAACGCAAAAATTACACAGATTTAAATGAAACCACGTTTATATTTTTTATAACCACGTCGATAAGATAATTAGTAGCTACAGTTTTTCTTGCCCGAGTGCACACGTAACCTTTCACACATGTTTACATTAGTGGCTATTAGAGTTATCTTATGGACCCTTTGGAGTCTTGTGGAGGAAGATTCACATTTTCCACAAAAGTCACCTCCGTTGGCATGTAAAAATAAATAAAAATAAACGGTTAACATTTCTCTTTACACTTTGAATTTTCTACCATCTAAACAGTTTCTGACCAACATTTTAATGCAAAATCAGATTAATTGTTTACAGAGTGTCCAGAAGCTTTCAGTACAAAAAATACCTTAGATTTTATGTTGATTTTCATGAACAATGACAGACGCAGTTTATGAAAAAAATTAATATTAGAGAAAAATCCAGTTTAAACGCGTTTAACGGGTCCGGGCGCGAAATACAAACATGCATGTGCATCATTAATCGGCACGGCATCGTTTTTCCGCTTTTTCGCTGAAACTGTCAAGCGAGGAAAATATCGTTCATCGCACATTATAGAACTTAAATTGTATCAAATGTTTGTTGTACATAATTTATTCCATTAAATATACTAAAAAGATTAATTATTGTTTGTAATAAGCAGGTTATATTGTGGCGTAGCAATGAAAACTGCACATTAAACACATCTTACGGAAATTAACCAAAATGCCATAAGCCCCAAATCGACGACAATGCAAATAGTTTGGTATGGCAAGTTTAATATGTCCCAAAAGATAATTGAAGGCATAATATGGCAAAAAATGAGAAAATTTAATTTTATACACCGTCTGTTGCTAGACTGCGTTGAGGCTTGTATTGTGGCGTAAATAGATTTGGACTTTCCTCTACCGTACACTGTTCATTTGAAAGATGCCCATTTAACATCTGTTACCTGCAACGCAAAAGAACAGACAAACATATTTTCATTACCCACCAATTTCGTCCAGAAATGGTCACGAATCATCAAGACTTCGGGAGAGTGGTGAGCGTTCTTATGCATTACGGAACAGGAAATCGAAGGCTAGAATACACATTCGTCTGTAAATATTCCACTCGTTAAATTAAATATAAAATGCCCCAATCGGGGCGATGTACACGTCCCAGTCGCAGTCCCAGTCGCTGAAGCATCAGTTCAAACTTCACGTTTAGGAATCAATTAACTGAATATTTTCATTAAGGATCATTTTAGCTACAAAACTGTTGGTACGTTACATTAAAGAAAGTGAAGGGGAATTTCATTTATGGTTATTATCCATAATTTGTTATTAAAAATTTAATCATGTTCACAAGTATTCGTTGTCAGCTACTTGTTAGGAGATAACGAACCATTTGTATGCGTTTGACAAAAAAGAAATGTTCTTGTCACGCGAGGAAGCCAAAGACCGGAATTGCGCCCCCCCCCCCGAAAAATTGTAACAATGTAGATATTAGAGTTCGAATTTATAATTTAAATATTTGAGAAGTTTTAAATTAGTTCAGTAAGTATTTTGATTGACAACCGTTGTAAAGCAAACCATTGATTAACAATTATTTTACAGATCAATCACATCATGATTTGTTCAATATTTCACGTTTTGTCCGGGCCCTGGACCACCCCACAGATGGTATTTTTTTTTCAACTTTCTCCTCACCAGTTGCCCTGGAGTGGCGGGAGTTTATTGTTATGTTGTGGGTACATGAGCCGCAGCCCATTGGCTTATGCGGCAAAGAAGAGGGCAGTGCTTACTAACTTATTACTAACTTAACCTATGGCTGAAGCCGACTCAGATGGTAGTCCCATAAGCAACCGCTATTTTGCATGAGGAAAAAAATACGTCTCACACCGAGTGTAAACAAAAAGTCGCGCGAACTCACCACGTTTGGCCGTAAAGCCGCCATGACGTGAATGACGGCGTGGTGTCCTCCGGCGGCGGCCTCCAAGAGCGGGGTGTTGCCCACATGGTCCTCCGCGCAGGGGTCGGCGCCCGCCACCAGGAGCGCCCTTGCCGCCCCCGCGTGCCCGCGGCGCGCCGCCAGCGCCAGCGCCGTCTCGAGGCGGCGCGTGCGCGGCTTGTCCGGCGGGGAGCCCCGCTTCAGGAGGGCTTTCACGGCGGCCGCGTCTC